CCTGCCTTTAAGCCAGCAATGGTCCATTCACACTGCGCCCTCCTGCTCTTAGCCTCACATTCCTCTGTAGCTTGGCCTGGATGAGGCCAAGTGATACCCTTTGGGCCCTGATGGTTTAGGAGTGCTGCTGAGGAAAGGAAGGGGAAGAAATAGAAGGAGAGAGATTAATTCATATTGATGAGGCTGCAAATGGGACTGAGCTGGTAAAAGAGCATAAAATATTGAGAAGGAAACAATGCCCTACTAGATCATTGGGGGGGAAAGAGGGGGCAAAAATTCCTTTGCTTGGTTCTTTTATGTCAAAGCTACTATGTCTTTAATACCAATACCAGAAGAAGGAATGCCACAGGTACATCTTGATGTTCACATGGAGAGTAGTTTAATTTCTGACTGCTGGTGGTGAATTGCATGTAGCATGCAGCATCAAGCACTGTGGTATAATACTTTCCTTCTATGCGAATTATAGTTTTGATTAAGATGACCTTTAAAAAAAATCTGTACTGTCACTGAGCTGTCACTCATACCATTGTGGTTTTCTTCATTGAAGTGGGCTGTATCACCTCTAATTTCAAATATTTTTTCCTCTCTCCTCTCTCCATGCACCCAAACATCCTTTTTCCTCCTTACCTTCTTCCTCCAGGGGCCAGGAAGATGCTTAGACATTATGTAGTTTTCTTTCAAAGTTTAACCATTTTTTGTTTTGGGTTGTGGTTGTATTGATTTTTTTCCCTGATGTTCTATATGTTCATTATTCTAAAGCAACCCACCTGGGGAAGGATTTGATCTGAAAGGCAATGTATCAATATTTTAAAAAGATAATGATTCCCTCTGTATTATTTATTAAGTTATCTGCAGATCGGCTATATAAGTGGACCCAGGTTGCCATGCTTAATGGGAGAGCACAAGAAACAAGGTGGATCTTCTCCAATCAAGAATCTGCCATATGCTTTGAATTCTTTGGTCCTCAGAACTCTTACCTAAAATGGAAGTTGAAATCAAAACATCTGGAGAACACTTAGTTAGGGGCAGGCTGTATCCAGTTTGGGAGAAAGATCAAAGCCTTGAATGAAGACATTGAAAATCTGACTCATTGAAAAATTGTCTCCAGTTTCACCCCTTCTCTCTGCAGCCTTTCTATTTTCCATATGCAAGGTTCTTTCAGGTGTAATCTGTTGCCAATTATTGCCTGGAGCATCTACCAGAAGGGTCGAACCCCAGTTTCCTCCCTCTCTCTTACATACACATTCACACACTATCCTTTCTCTCAAGAAGTTTGCTTTGGAGGCTAGCAGGAAAGAAACAGCAGCATTTATTAGAGGCCTGGATTGTTCCCCTGCCAAGCATGTTTCAGATTAAGCAAAGGGCACCTTATGGTGTCTGGTGTCAACAGACCTGAGTTTGGTGGATCAATGGCCTGATTCACCATAAGGCACCTTCCTATATTCCTCATTGGGGGCTTTCCGAATTAAGCCTGCGCTGCTCATTAGAATTAGATGTTGTGGAGAAAAGTTGTGTACCTGTTAATATTTCAGAACAAGGAACACGGATCTAATTAAGTCAATGTGCTTTGCATAGCACAATGTGCTGCTTTTTCTTCCTCAGACTCTAATGCACATTCTTCTCTGAAACCCTAGAAAGATAATCTTCATGTAGCTGCAGCGAAACAAGATAGACAGATAATGATCATTTAAATTTATTTTATTAAAATTACAGCAAGGAATTACATCAAGGAAAGAGAAACTGTTTTGAGACTCACTACACCTACTAACTAGGAAGTCATTTGGTTAAGTGCCCACAATGTGCTCCCTAAAATCAAGACATGTCTATAGATCAGAGATAGCACTGATAGTTAACCCATGTTAGCCTAGGTTACAAGTCATCTTTCTGTCCTCCCTAGAGGCCTCAGGAGTTGTGCCTGTTGGCATTGAGACATCATTGAAAAGGACAGGGCCAAATGTTCAGATCTTCTTTTTTTAATTTGGGTAGGTTTGCGGATTATAAGGCACTATTCATCATACATGAACCTTACTAAGGTAACTGCTCTAGCATCCCAAATTTGTAGGCAAACCTGTGCACTGGTAATCTAACTTTTATTTTATCAATTTTATATATAATGGTTATTTCCCCAGTGTTGATGATGATTAAAATGCTTTTAAGCAAACATTTTCTTCCTATTAATACAAATAGCAACTTTGGCTATGAAACTCCAACTTTGAAAAATCAGAATTATTTTGCGATGTTCATACTCACCAAGTGTGAGACAGGTGGTCCTGTCTTGTTTAGCAATTGTTCAAAGTTACAAACTTTGCAAACTAATCCTTGCATTTACAACCATCACAGTGTCCTGCAGCTATACGGTCACCTTTTGCAAGTTTCATAGCCAACTACCAACAAGCAGAATTAATGGAGAATGTGGGAATGAAATGCAAGTCACAGTCACATGATGTCCTGCTTAACAACCACATTGATTCAGTTAATGACAAAGGCAGAAGTAATATTAGTTTGAGGCAGTCACATGTTTGTTTGTTTTTTGCTTAGTGACTGTGGCACTTAGCAATGGAATTACCGATTCCAATTGTGGTCAATAAGCAAGGACTGCATCTGCATGAAAGATGGAGAAAATTCCTTGACAGGGTAGTCAATCCTTTGTATTAGACTTTAAAAAAAAAGTGGGTATAAGTAGTCCTCGACTTACAGCCTTTAATTTAGTGACCATTCAAAGTTACAACAGTACTGAAAAAAAGTGATTTATGACTGTTTTTCACACTTACAACCATTACAGTATCTTCATGGTCACATTCAGATGTTTGGCAGCTGGTTCATATTTATGACACTTGCAGTGTCTTGGGGTCATATGACTGCCTTTTGTGACCTTCTGACAAACAAAGGCAATGGGGAAGCCAGATTCATTTAACAATCATGTTACTAAACAATTGCAGTGATTCATTTAACAACTGTGACAAGATTGAAAGGTTGTAAAATGGGACAAAACTCACTTAACAACTATTGTGCTAAGCAATGGAAATTTGGGCCCCCAATTGTGGTAGTTTACAGCCTTTAGAATCTGTACACAGATTCTCCCTCCTAAATATTTTGACATTTAAATATTGTTAACCTATAAGAAATGCTTATTACACATTCAGTTTCTCCACACAACTATTTCCTCATATTCCCACTTGTGACAGATGGCCTTAATATTTTCCATTGAAAAGGTATGTTGGTGTGTATGTATTTAAGTGTTTGTGTGATGGGAATATGAGGAAATAGTTGTGTGGAGAAACTGAATGTGTAATAAGCATTTCTTATCGGTTAACAATATTTCTTACCATTTAATGAGGGAATTGCTTTGTTTTTGTTCATGTTTATTTTCTATGGCATGTTTGTCTAGAAGTTGTTTGGTTGTTGTTTGGTTGTTGTTGTTTTAGTTATATAAAGCTGCACAGATTTTGAAAGGGAAAGGAAACTATTTTAAACATTCAGATCCCTGAATGGTTTGAATCTGACACTTTTTTCTCAGAGTTTTAAAATATGGAGAATCAGCATATTACAGTAGGGTTAAAAATAGAACTTGTGGTTCCCAGATATTTTTAGATTCCTATAAATTTCACCCAGAAGGGAATATTTATCAAGGATAGGCATTATAGTCCAACAGTATAGAAGACCATTTCTATGGCAATCAGCTATTTTGCCAATTATATAAATGTCACTGATTATCCTTTAAAACAGGGATCGCCAACCTTGGCAACTTTAAGACTTGTGGACTTCAACTCCCAGAATTCCCCAGCCAACATGGCTGGCCAAGGAATTCTGGGAGTTGAAGTCCACAAGTTTTAAAGTTGCAAGGTTGGAGACCCCTGCTTTAAAAAAAAGGGTTCTAACTGATGGTCCAAATGAAACGAGTGCTGAGAATAGTTCCTGAGAATATTTTGGTAGGAAAAAAAATGTTCTTAAATCAGGTTGCCAGCCAAAAATGATCTTTTCCAGGAGCTTTGCAGAAGTGCCTAGTAGAACTCGTCACAGATCTCAAAATAGAGATATGTAACTTGGTGCTGGCCAGATGTTTTCGACTAAAATTTGAGCAAGGATGCCTGATGTGAAGGGATTACAAAAGATATATCCAAAATACTGAGAAATATGTAGAGAGAAAGGAATATGACTTTGACAGAGAGAGGCCAGATCTGTTACCAAACAAGGGAAAACATGGCTTAAACAGGGAGAAGGAATACATATGCTGCTCAGGCAGGCACCCTCCTAATTCACATGGATATAATAGGAGTGGGGAGGAAAGCACAATCAAATGTGCAAGATTCTGTTATTATAACCAGCGTTGATAGCTTTCCTGTTTCTTGATTTGGTCTTTATTGTGGGGCTGACAAGAATAAAGGTAAGGAGAAGGGAGAACATTTAAAGTTGTAAGATTCTGTTACTGTAACCCTATAATAAAAGTAGTTTTAATGTTCATTACTTTGTGCTCAAGTTTGATCTACCTTGAAGGACTGACATCAATCTTGCAACTCTGAAGTGTCTCCCCACCTTCTCTGCCTTTCTTCTAAAGAGAACTAGGTAGAGTCATTGGGGATCATTGCTTTCTCAAATTCAATTCCTGATTTGGGATGAGATTTCTCTTACCTGACTATTGCTTTGGCTGTGGCTTTTTCTCCTCTTCTTCAAGGTTATTCTCACAGCCCATTACACCTACTCTAATCTCATACCTGATTTAGCTGCTGTCAAAATTGAAAATAATACAATATATTGAATGTTTGCCAGAATACAGCAAATCAGTAATATCTTTTCTAAGACGTTTCTATATGTGTGTTTGCATGAATGAAGTGGGCATTTGTTTCAGCCCTCTTCCCGATATGAGATCTGCAATGCAAGATGTGGTCCAGGCAAAGCTGGCAGAAAGCTATACAACCTCTAATTCAATACTTTCAGTGAAGGTTTTCTTTTTTAAACTAAGGACCTGAAACCATTCCATTTCTTTTCTCATCTTCTCATAGGAAAAAGCAGACCTTGGGGAGTTGAATTTTTCCCTCTGTTACCTCCCCACCGCGGGTCGTCTCACAGTTACCATTATCAAGGCTACCAACCTCAAAGCCATGGACCTGACTGGATTTTCTGGTGAGCATATGTGGGTCATGACCAGCAGTTCCTGAAGCAAAACAGCTAGGCCAATTGGCAGTAGAGCAATAGCTTTGACTTAGAGGGTGGTTACCCTGGGGAAAAAGGACAGTAAAATGAGGAAAGAAAGCTGAATATCAGAAGTGAAGTGTCAGAGGATTGTCAGTTAGGCAGTCAGATTGTCAGTTAGGGTAGGTAGGAGAAGACAGAAGAAAAATTAGAATGTACTAATATATGTCTATGGTTTGCTATAGATTAATAAAACATTTTGATTCCAGATTATTTTAAAAATAGTAAAAAACTATAGAAATTGACTTCTCCCTGCTCTTCCCCCTTTTTTCTATCCTACATCAGTCTCTGCTAAAAAGAAACTTTTGGGGAGATGGAAGAATCCACTATGGGATATTATGTGAAAGAATTTGTGCAATGAAACAGTTTTTTTAGTTTTAATGTTCTTGGTTTTGAAAAAGGCAGACAGCGTTTCTGAGCGGGAGCTTTAAGAGATGAATCTCACAGCCAGGGAGGTAGAGTTTAACTTTTTCTTACCTCTATTACAGTCTGTCTGACTTTCCCTGCTTTGAACCATGTTAAAAGCAAAAATTACATTTTATATGACATGTCTTTGGGCCTCTGTTCTCTTGCTAAAACAAATTCATGAATGGAGTATGTTTCTAAGGGTACACCTGTAGTCATTTTTTGCAGTTAGGTCTTGTTAGTTTATTTCAAGGTTTTGGTAAATTGGAATCCTGTTCCTAATAAATTTGGAGATGGGATGGCAGCAGAAAATGAACAGCAGAGCTTCTTGGTGTGTTTTGATTTCACAGAAGCCTGTGTAGGGTTTAACAAGGAGGGGATTCAAATGCAGGTAAGAATTTGAGGTCATCAGAAGTAAGAGCAGTGCCTGGGGGGACTGGCAATCTAGTACCCTGCAGATCTTTGGGATATATCTCCTAAACCTTAATCCTTGCCATGCTGTTTGAAAGCTAAAATTCGAGACCTCTAGGGAGCATCAGGCTCCTTATCCCTGCTATCAGGAAAGGAGGCAGCATTTAAAATTAGGGCAGAGAAAGCAGCAAAGGGGGTTACTGAGGAGAAAGCAAGATGAGTGTAAGATGGGTCCTATTATGCTTCATTGCTATTACAAGGACACAGTTCAGCTTCAAATGAGCAAATCTGTCAATTTTTGTTTTATTCAGCATCTCTTTTTTCACCATATTAATTATGTTTGTCCTGTTTTCCCAGCAGTTTGTAAATTTATTTCTTCTAATAAATAGTTTCTTATATGTGCTTGTCCTTGAATGTTTTTGCATATAGTCTTTTTTATGATAGACTTTTCATAACATATGCTTTTATCTATGCACGTTGTTCCTTAAACTGTGCCCTTTGCACATTTTTTAAAAATTGTAATCTGCATTCTGTGGGAGCTGTGGTTTATTTTTGGTTTGCTTGTACGTTTGGGAGAGATGAACTCAATCAGTTTACATAAACATTCAGATAGAATGAATTTTTCTACTGCCTCTAGTTAGGGATATACATCTCAATGACAGTTGTCATGCTAGTGATATGGAGGGTGAATCTTAACAGAAAATGCCAAGTCAGTTTTGATAAATTGATCCTTGGTGCTTATGATGACAATCAGAGCTCAATCCTCTATGGAGGGAAAACAGGAAGGACTTGCAGTTACAACTAAAGAGGAGAGAGTGGGAATTTCTCAAAGCAAGCCCCCCTTTATGAATATTGGTAGTGGAAAACTGAAGGGCAGATTCTGTTCTACAGTGGTAAACTCCCTATATAATCTGCAATTAGGTTTGGTGGGCACAAGGTGTATCTATGATATACCTTCTGCCAAAGAAAATGGCTGGTTTATATGACAGGTCTATTGTGGGGGCAGGGCCAGCCTCAAACATTTTGCTACCTGGTATTTTTCTGATTACATGAAAAGTTTGTGAAATAGTAGGTCATTAGGAAAAAAGGTACTATATAGCCCAGCCTATTCCCTATAATGCTACTTTTCTGCTTGTGGAAATTGTATCATAAAGAAAGGGATATTGAATTGTGATTCTCCTCCTTGCAAGTTCTGCCATGCCATTCTCCTGCATATGGTTTTGGACCTTATGATACTTTATAGTGGACAGCATTTGTCCTCACTAAGCACTCGCAGACAGTTTCCACAACCATGAAAACCTCATTCAGATGGTATTAGAAAAGATTCCTGTCAGAGATCAATCAGGTAGTCTAAACTCCTTGTACTCAAAGGAATTAAATTACAGTGATCAGAAATGGGGTGGGGCAGAATGTTAAAGACAGAGAGGCCCAAATGATGTCATTTGATATACATTTGACTTGGCTGCTTTCCCTCTAATCCTGGACCACCTTTCTCTATCTTTTGCCTGCATCTTTTCAGATCCCTATGTTAAAGCATCCCTCATGTGTGAAGGGAGGCGCTTGAAGAAGCGTAAGACTTCCATCAAGAAAAACACTTTGAACCCCAGTTACAATGAGGCTCTTGTCTTTGACATTCCCCAGGACAGCATGGAGCATGTCAGCATTACCTTGGCAGTCATGGATTATGATTGGTAAGATATATCATATCCATCCAAATTCTGGTGAGTTAAACAGAAGAGGCATGATTTAAAGGGCTTGTGCTGGCTGGGCATTTAGATTTCCTGCTCCCTTTGAGGAGAAGTCATTTCAGCCAGCGATGGCTCAGCACTCAGGAAATTCACTGCAGAACTTTGGGCACTATATGCAAGATGGAGACACAGATTAGGCTGTCTTGAGGAGGGATATTGGCAGCTCTTGCCAACTGTGGATGCTGTTGTACAATTTCATAGAATGACTTGAATTTGCCCACCCACCCAGATCATTAAAGCCTTGTGACAACACACAAAATCATATTGAAATGTCAGCGCATTCAGGTTATTTGATTTGGTACATCTTGTAAGTTGGATGCTGTGTTGCTAGTTCATGGGTTAGTGAAGAGTACTGCAAAAAAGTCTTCTGGAATTATATTGCAACTTGCTAGAGAAGGAGTTCATTTTGCTTTTTCTAATGAAGATGATGAGTTGAGAACCAAGAGCTGAGTTAGGAGAAAAATAAAACAATGGGAGGAACTTACAGCCAAGATTGCTCCCCATTCTCTGACAAATAGAGAGTTATGCACTGAGTGCAATCATGGATTACCATCCTTGCCCAATCTGGGCATCCTTCAGTTATATGGCTTTGAACCCTTGACATGACCTCATTGTCGTAGTTATGCTGGCCTGGAAATTCTGGGAATTTATATTCCCACCTCTGGAAGGTGGCAAGGAAATGAGCCATTGCCTGGCTGTTTTTATGAATAAATGCAACATAGTCAGTCCTCCCTATACTGGTAGGTGGGAGCTTGTGATCCAATACATATGAAAAGAAGCAGATTAGCAGGATATAAGTACTTAGTATTTAAATACTAAGTACTAGTATTTTAATATTCCACATGTACTTTTGATGCAGAAATAGATGCTAAAATGGAATATAACAACAACAACAACAAAGTTGGAAGGGATCTTGGAGGTCATCTAGTCCAACCCCCTGCTCAGGCAGGAAACCCTATACCATTTCAGACAAATGGCTGTCCAGTCTCTTCTTAAAAACTTCCAGTGTTGGAGCATCCACAGCTTCTGGAGGCAGGTTGTTCCACTGATTAATTGTTCTAACTGTCAGGAAATTTCTCCTTAGTTATAGGTTGCTTCTCTCTTTGGTTAGTTTCTATCGGTTGCTTCTTGTCCTGCCTTCAGGTGTTTTGGAGAATAGCTTGACTCCCTGTTCTTTGTGGCAACCCCTGAGATATTAGAACACTGCTATCATGTCCCCCCTCGCCCTTCTCTTCATTAAACTAGACATACCCAATTCCAGCAACCGTTCCTTATATGTTTTAGCCTCCAGTCCCCTAATCATCTTTGTTGCTCTTCTCTGTACTCTTTCTAGAGTCTCAACATCTTTTTTACATCGTGGTGACCAAAACTGGATGCAGTATTCCAAGTGTGGCCTTACCAAGGCATTGTAAAGTGGTATTAACACTTCACGTGATCTTGATTCTATCCCTCTGTTAATGCAGCCTAGCACTGTGTTGGCTTTTTTGGCAGCTGCAGCACACTGCTGGCTCATATTTAAGTGATTGTCCACTAGGACTCCGAGATCCCTCTCACAGTTACTACTATTGAGCAAGGTACCACCTATGACATAATAAGCTTCAAAAATTTTTGGGAGGGGGGACTTAATATTTCAATGATCTCTTTGTCTCTGGGTCCCAAATACAGCAGTTTTAAGTAAAGCATACAAATGATCCAGTAGCTCACAGTTGTGCACCTGTCATGCCTTTGGCTGATACCAAAAAACTAATCAGATCTGATTAATATTTGAATGGGAGATCTGCAGAAAACCTAGGGCTATATGCTAGACTATAAATTTTTTAAAGAAATCTAGAATAAGGCAGTTAAAAATTTTGGATCATGACATAGGTGATGAACTCAACTTAAGGGAGTCTTTAGGTTTGTTTATGCAGATCACATAACTGAGGTTGACATTTTCCTCCACCTCTGAAAGGCTGGCTCTGAACTAATCTCTTCCACAGCATTGGGCATAATGAAGTCATTGGCATGTGTCGAGTGGGCAATGATGCTGATGCACCTGGGAGAGATCATTGGGCTGAGATGCTGGCAAATCCACGTAAGCCCATTGAACATTGGCACCAGCTAGTAGAGGTGAGTGTGATACTGTGAGAACACCAGGTCTAATCTGTGTCCAACCCATTGCTTCACTGGAAACTAAAAACTAAACTAAAATGCCAGATCAGTAAGAAACAGGATCAATAAACTAGTCATTCTGACACTTCTCTGTTAAGCACAAAGCTGTTCTAACCTGCTGCCTGGGCACAGGATAGAGCAGTGTTTCTCAACCTTGACAACTTGAAGATTTGTGGACTTTAACTCCCAGAATTCCCCAGCCAGTCATTTTAAAGTTGCCAAAGTTGAGAAACATTGGAATAGAGAGACAAAGAAAAAAATGGGGGAGCTTATGAAGTTGTAGGAGAGAATGAAAAACATGCTTCTCTCTCTTAATTATGACACTACTCCACCCACATCTGGCTTAATTTCCACCCACCATTGTCATTTAGGGCCTTCCAAACAAATGTGGCCCTTGAAAAAAATAAAAGCTGCCCATTTCTATAAATAAGAATACAATAAATTACATGTGTATTCTTTTTATGACTTGTTTCTCACTCAGCTTTTATGGTAATGATGTAGCCCTAGACTGTTGGCTGAAAGTGTTGCGTCTCTTATGTATTCTAGTACTGCAGTGGTACAGTACCCTTCCAAGAACTTAGTAGTGTATCCTGAATACAAAGCATGGTCCCTGAAGAATGCTGGAAGATTTGCTGATACAATGGAATGACATTCTGGAATAACTGAGAAACAAGGGGCTAAAAGCTTAAGAAAACTGTCAGGATTGTATAATGTCATAAGCTGGGACAGAATTTGCAGTTGGGATTTCTGGATCTTTTTGGGGAAGACACAGTTTGAGAGGGATGGGGCCAGTGGTGGGATTCAGCCACTTCGCACCACTTTGGCAAAACCGGTAGCTAATTTTTTGTTGCCCAGGCCCAGAATGGACTTCCGAAAGCGGCATCCACACAGAGAGCCGGTTGTTCACATATTTGAATCCCACCACTGGATGGGGCCCAAGGTTGGACCATCTCTTCAAACCCGAGTCCATAGCTCAGGGTGCCGTGGCAGAGGCTGGAGAGTCTGAGAACATTACACTTGTCCCTCTGATTTTTTTTTCTCTTTGCTGCCTCTGATTTTTCAGGAGAAGACTTTGAACAGCTATATCAACAAGAATCCTCCAGCTCAAGATAAACCTAGCATCATAGTAGAAAGTGTTCATTCAGACTAAAGCAACCACCAGCAGCCCTTTGCCACCAGGGACTGTAAGTGTCTTAGGGAGATAGAAGTGGGGTGAGAAATGACATATACTTTCTTATTTTCCGTAGAAGCTGTAGCAAATCGGAGATACCTACGCTTCTCAATCTGTGCCCCAGCTACTACATCACTCTTTTATAGGATTAATGCCAGACAGTTCATAAAGTAGATACTATGTGGGGCTTCCTGGATATGACCTTATTTAGGGGACACTTGGCCAGTGAGTATTGGATCATTGTATTGGATCCCTTATTGCAGGCCGATAAGGCAGCGCAGACCAAATAATAAATTCCACAAAAATACTTTTAGATTGGCTATAATAATATCTTACAGGTCTGATTGTGCTTTCCCTCCTCCCTCTTTTATATTCATGTGAATTCGGGAGTGTCTGTCTGAGACATTTTCATAATCACCCTCCCCCCCACCATCGTCTGGACTCAAGTAATGTTTCCCTCTTTATTGCTTTGGTAATGGATCTTCTCTTTCCCCATCAGGGTCATCCTCTTTACTCTCTACTTATAGCCATCAACTTAAAACACAAAGAAGGGCGTCCAAAATTAATCAGTATGCTTGAGTCCTACTAATGGGAGGAGATGTTCCTAAGATATTTTGGGTCCAACCCATTTATAGATAAGTACCATAATTTGAATTGCATCTGGAAATGAACTGTCACTTAGTGGTACTCTGTTAAAGCATTGATGTCACCCAACCAAATCAATTCAGCAAGCCTCATTTAGTAGCTAAATGACCAATATTCAAACATTTTAAAAAAAAGATAGCAATAGAAATGCAGTGGAGTAACATAACTGGTGGCTACTATGCAAATGAGATTGCCATTATTAGCCAAAGAAATGCAACATTTTTCCCTTGTCTAAACTAGACTGCAAATATGCTAGACTGCGAATAAACTAGACAGTGAATATGCAAACTTTTCCATTTCTAGTCCCCAAAATGAATTCCACAACTCTATACTTTATGTGCTTTAGAGTTACGTGGCTGCATGATATCTGGCTGAGTTATTTTGAACCTTATCTTGAGATTCTAGAAGTAGTGTCAGCAACAAAGCAATTCCAGGACCTAAAGTTTCAGGATTAATCCCCCAACTCGGTTTTGGACAAAGTCAGGAATTTTTAATATAATATAAAAACTGGTTTTGAAAGAGGAAGTGATAGATGGCCTTCATTCTTTTCTTTCAGGGTTCCAGCAATGTGCTCTCAGAACTTTCTGGAGTGTTAACGTTTCCTCAGATCCATCTGAGAGGAAGTGCCAATAGGAGATCATCTGAGGGAAGGACTGCAAGTTCCTGCTTCCCTCAATCCCCATCTTCCCCAGAAAGTTTGCTGCCTGATGCATTTTTTCTTTTCAAAAGCCATAGGGGCAGCCACCAAGGAGCATTTTTCTTGTGGGAGGGATATATTGTATCTAGAGTAAAAAAAAAAAAAAAAAAGACCCCCCCGGGGTGGGATCTTTTTTTTTAAACATGCATGCTATTGGAGTCTTTGTTATGGAAAGAGTCAAGATGGTAAACTAGAAATGTTACCTATTCTTTGTTTTTCAAAATTGCTCATTGGGCAGACATTCAAGAGGTTCCCCTTCCCCATGGAGCTACTTAGTAGAGTTCTTCAGATTGTTAAACTTACAGTCTTATTCAGGAGGCATAATAGGGGATAGCCATGGCAGGCAACCATTCTTCTTTCTACATCCTATCCTGTGTATGGGCTTCAAATCTTCTCACGGCTGTGACTTTAGAGCCAGATGACTGTTAACCCTTACTCTCTTTCTTGTTTTCTTTTCACAACAGATCTTTTGAAGGCATGAGGAATGTCTTTGTGGGTGCTTGGTCTGATGGGGTGGGGGCAGAGTTTCTGCATAGTACCAGAAAGCATGCAGGACCCATTACCTCAGTCTTCATGAACCTCCAGCCCAAGAATAGGAGGGAGGGAGAAGAAAAATGCCTTTCTTTCCTCGTCACTCATCCTTGATAGACAACTCTGTAAGTGAGCCAGGAGGACTCCCTGTGGACATCCCTGCCAATTTGCCCTGTTAGGCCTCCTGCATCAAGAACCACCATGGAATTATCTTCCTACAGATTAACATCAGGCTTGTGACATCAAAGTGGCTCCATAATGGACTAAATTAAGGCCTACTTTCTAACCTAGAATTAGATTTGTCAACAGCCAATTCTGGACTCTTTCATATGTATGTGTAAATGTTTGGGGGTGAGATAATAGTGTGACTCCTTTCCTAAGTCTCATTACGTTTGCTGCTTCTGGCTTTGCATGGTCACCCTCCACTCAGTTTGAATGAGTGCTTTCCTGATTTAAGCTAGGACAGCCGCTTGGTCAGAGAATCGAGATGTCCTGATTCTCGCCACTCAAGTCTCCACTGTGTTATTTCCTTATGTAGCCCCACCCCATTTGTTTTTAATTTTGGAATGTCTTTCTTTTTCTTGTTCTCCCCCTAAGGTGCATCCATTTGTCATTTTGTCTTGGTCTCTGAAGCTCAGTCCTGTTTATGGTTGTTTTTTTGTTCTAACTGTGTGAAATAAAGGGAGGGGGGAGGGATAAAACAGGAGAATTAGCCCTGCTTCCTAAACTTCTGTCGCCCTTTTTTTTTGGAAAAGCCATATACTCTCCCAATTGCTTGGCTATAAGATTTCTGGCATTAATGGGAGAGGGAGGGGGCCGGAAGGTGATCTCTCTTCACAATAGTTTGGAACTTGAAGTTGCTGCTAAAACCGTGACATCAATAAAACTGGAAGAAGAAAAAAACAAGTATCTCTGGAATTCAAGACTTTTTTGAACCAAGGTGGAGTATAGCAGTGTAGAGAAATGAAGAATTGAGCCTGTATTCAGCATTCTACCAATATGTTCTGATAAAAACAGAGATGTTTATGCTCTGTTTCATCAGAAGAGATAGATAAGCTCTTTACAAGAGACTTGTATGATCATCTGTTATAGAGTAGGGCAACTTTCTGTGTCTCATCACCCCAGAAAAGGGAAGCAAACTGATAAATTCTGCTGCGCCCTGGCAGACAAGATTCAAGCAATTTTATTACTATAGTTGTATCCCACCATTCCTCTTGCATATTAAAATAGCACATACAGATAGTCCTCGACTTATAATCATAATTGAGCCCAAAATTTATGTTGCTAAGCAAGACAGTTAAAGTGAGTTTTGCCCCATTTTATGTTCTTTCTTGCCACAATTGTTAAGTGAATCACCGCGGTTGCTAGTAACATGGTTGTTAAGTGAATCTGGCTTTCCCATTGACTTTGCTTGTCAGAAGGTTGCAAAAGGTGATCACATGACTCTGGGACACTGCAGTTGTCATAAATATGAGTCAGTTGCCAAGCATCTAAATATTTATCACACGATCATAGGGATGTTGCAATAGTCGTAAGTGTGAAAACAGTCATAAGCCACTTTTTTCTGTGCCATTGTAACTTTGAACAGTCACTAAATGAACTGTTGTAAGTTGAGGACTACTTGTATTTGGGAACTGAGGGAGGTCACATTCTTAAACCCTCTAAGAAAGGTGCATTAAGAAAGTGACTGCCCTTAAGACACTCAGTGAGCTCCTGTGGTTAAGATTGGGACCCCTGTTTCCATCCTAGTCTTATTCCATAATTACTTTGCCTCCAATTGACATAACAAGACAGAACAGATGGGTTACCTCATCTTTTATACTGGAGATTCTACCTAGGGCTGTCCAGATGGCTTAGCATGGCTTGCCCATTCCCTCCCCTTGACAAATGTTTTGGGAGCACCAACAGTCTGCATGCCATTTTGCTTTGGACTACTCTAGATCCATAGTGCATTTATATTTTATACAAGAATACAAGCTCAAGGGACAAAATTTTGAACAAATGGTAGATCAGGAGCTGCAGGAGTAAAAATAATATTTGTAAAGCTTCAGAGAATTTGGGACAGTTGACTGGCTTCTAAATATTCCAGAACCATTTTTGCTTGAATCTTGTGTCAAAAAATATCCCTTGATTCAATCAGGGAGAAGGGTCCTAACTTCCTGTCATGCTACATTTCTATATCAGGAGGATGTTATAAAAATCCTATTAAAGATGTTCATTAGAGTACAGCATTTTCCCTGGAGATGTATACCTATAAATGAGAGTAGAAACATCAATATAGTAGAATAATGATGAGTCAAGTTTACAGTCACTCTTCCTCCTCAATCTAAACAAAATAACTCCAAGCCGAGCTGAGATGGGTAACAGGGACTAGGTTCAAAGACCCCAAAGCCAATGCTTCTTAAGGCTGATTGAAGAGAGTGTCCAGAATGTAATTTTTGAGACTAGTTTGAAAATGGTGTCTTTGCTTGATTAAAAAAAGTACCTGGGCCTCAAGTGAGCAAAAAAGTAGTGTGTGATCCTTATATAAAGGTTAACTGGGCAAAGTCCCACTTGGGTCTTAGAACTGTTAGGTACAAGTCCCAATATCCAAACCAACCACGTGACTAGGCATGGCTGTGCTGAAACTCTTACTTTTTACTGCTATAACATTTGTACATTCACCTTCAGCTGATTCTACGTATGCTTCCTTCCCTCATTTTCATTCTTTTACTCATTATTCAAAACTTCTTCAATAGGACAGCTCAGCATCCTAAAACAAGTATTTGGATTTTAACCATATAGCCACAAGGATCACATTTTGCAATTTCCTTTTTTCACTGTGAGACATTCACTAATAGAAAACTTAATGATAAGCAGATTCCAATGCTATTTACAAAGCTATTTGCTCTTCTCCAAGTTCCCTACTATTTTCATCAACCTGGTAGCTTCCTCTCCTTCAGAGATCAATCTCTAGTGCATACAGATGATCCTCAAGATCTTTGCCATTATCAACACAAAAAAATTTCCACAACAGATTAAAGCCGTCTAAAAAGCCAGCTCTGCCCAATTCCAGGTGAAAAGAGATAAAGTATTACAGGTAATTCTCAACTTACAACAGTCCATT